TTATTCCTCTTCTGTCTTCGACTGCTCCGAGAGGTGCTAGTGTTCCACTCGTCGCTCATCTCTTAGGCACGATGACAGTCGTTGATGGAACGTCTCTGATGGTTTCCACCTGTGAGCCATCTGTCCCTCCCTGTGCCCCGCACATGAGGTGTCCGGGTTTCTGCACAGGTCAAGCCAGTTTGGAGTGCACCCCGGACACGTGGATACCTGCTTGTGAGACTCCGGGTCCTACTGAAACCCCGAGTATGGACTTGGGGGTTTATGTAGGCGATCAGATAGGCGAGGTGCGTGCTGCCGGTCCCACCTTCTGCGAGCACTGGTCCTAGTATCAGCTGGGTTTTAACTCTTTCCCCACGTCATTCAGGTCCGTGTCGTGTGGCCACAAGTGGCAAGTGTGAGACCAGAGCAGGTCTACGCCTTAGAGCAATGCTGGAATCTCGTGCGTGCTATTCAGGGTTGCACGCAAACATGCCCCGATCGGGGTGAGCCCAGTGCGTACATACAACTTCACGCACCTGCTCTCCCAAACTCCCTCCTCCGTGCGGTTTCCCAATACTTCTTGGCTCTTAGGGGACCTCCAACCCCCGCCTAGCCTTCGGGCTACAAAGTCGGGGCCGCGGCTTGCCACTCAGCCGTGCACCTTCTCTAACTGGTTCTGTCTCCCAACCAGGTGCCAAGATCATAGAAAGAGAAACACGGACACGAAGCGGCACACCCTCCCCACACCGTCCACGGCCTTAGAGTCTGTACTACCAGCCGGGCTGCTGCCGCCACCAACCTCCTTGTCAGAGTCCCTGGGGCCTGGAGTAGAGAACAGAAAACAAACAAGAAAACAAGGGAATTCCCTTTTCCAGGTCACGTTAGGACCCCTACCTCCAGCTCCTGCACCTGCTCAAAACGTCCAGGACTGGGGCTGTCTTCGAGCCCAGGCCAGGAGACACCAGCTCGGGGTCCTCTGCGTTCCACAATCCACGGGCTGGCATTTACAAAGTCCACAAAAAGCTGCTCCATGCACAGCATCCAGGAATTCCAGCTACATTCAGCGGAGAGGCAAAGCGGAGGATGCTTACTTCCCATCATGCCCAGAACAAGAACCGGGTCTGAGCCAGGACCTGCTACTGTTTCACGGCCCTCCGTGGCCTCCATTCCCCGTAGTTTATTTGCCCGCTTTCACACGATCGTCACAGGCCCTGCTCTGGTGTGCATCCTTTCGCACCCGTATGAGGAGTGCTTTCCTCTGGGAAGGCAGGAGGGGGTGGGGTCGCTGGCGCGTGCCATCAGAGTGCTCTCTGCAAGGTCCGCACCCGTGCAGCGCCCTCGGGACCCACCAGCGCTCTCAGACCCACACACTCACCAGCGCCAGGAGGAATCAGCTGGCTAGCGTTTGTCCGTCAGGAAGGCATAAAGCCAAGTCATTTTGTTTAATGTGCATTTCCCAAATGACTGATGAATGTCTGTATCTTTCCAAACACCTGCTGGCTTTGGGGGTCCCTCCTATGTGAATTCCCTCTTCTATCTGGGGTCTGTCCGGACTGGTCTGTCTGCTCTAGAGAACAGTTTCAGTGGCTGCGAGTCCCTGGTGCTTTCAGTGGCCTTTTGGCTTTGCCCCCAGCACCCTTCACGGCACAGAGCCCTGCTCCGGGGGCACACACTACCTTCTCTTCTGCGTCAGCTGTCATCTCGTGTTTGCAGGTCTGTGCCGATGTAATCAAGTACATCCACCTCTGCCTCGCGGTTTATTCTCCGGCCCTTCGTTGTCCACAGGTCCTAAAGAGATTCCCTATTTCACTGTCCCTGCATATTTAGCTCCGGAGCTGTTGGTAGGGAACCAGCTAAGCTTTTCTCCACGAAAAGAGGTTATTTCCAACCCGATCACTGAAATAATTCATCCTTTATGGATATCTGTTCTTAAGCCAACACACACTCTTACTTTATTTTTGCCGTTACTGCTTCCTGGCTGCCAGGACTTTACAGTAGGTCTTAACATTTAGGAGGAGTCCCCGGTGCCTGATATGTCCCGAGGCTGTGTTTTTGGTGCGTCTATGTCTCTGATGGTTGTAGCTCATCCTAACCCTCCCTTTACTACCTGCAACCAGTTTTGCTCAGTAGAGAAGTTTCTGCGTCTTGGAGTCTATTCTGCCAGCTAAGCAGACCGCCACTGCAGTTCTCACTCACCGATGCTCAGGATGCCGTGCTCCATCCCGGGCTTCCCCAGCTCCTCCAGGCTGACCCGAGCCGGGCGTCAGTGTCTGGGTGTCTGAGCCGGTGCTCCTCTCAGCCCTGGGGCTGCCTGCCGGCTGCACCGCGGGCCCAGCTCCTGTGGAGTTAACAGCCTCGCCCTTGGCTGGCTTCTGCGGCGGCGCTGGACCCAAAGTCGGCCCGGGGGCTCTGTGCCTCCCTCCGTACTGGCAACACTGCCTTCTCTTCTGCTCTAACCAGCATGTCTCCGGGTGGGTCTACACTTGCCCACCGCGCTTGAGAGGCGTGCGCTTCCCATTGGCAGACGCATGCCTCCCAGCGGAACCGGGGCATCTCTAGGAGTTCCCTGTGCAGCTTTCCACTCAGTTCTCCCCCCGGGTCTGATACGGGCTCTCCCACAAAGCCACGGAGATTCAAATGTAGCCGCCGTACTTTCCTAAAACTCCCTTTGATTCTTTTTCAGATCCGTTTGGCCATGTCTGGTAAGTTTTTATCTTTGGTCATTTTCTGGTTGTCTTTTTGTCTCTTCAAATATTTCATATGTGATCATTTGGTGCAAAACTGTACATGTTGATTCCAGTCTCTGAAAATCCCAGGAGCCTGAAACAGCTGGGAGTCTGGTCTCACTCAGGGGCTTCTTTCCTCGTGTCTGCAAACTTTTCTCAGGAGCTCAAGTACGGTTTCACTCACCCCATCTGCATGCTGAGGGCATAAGGGGCAAACTCCCTCCCGTCAGGCGGCTATCTGCTAGCTGCTGCTTGGACCCGGGGGGCAAGGCTGCCCGCAGCCCCTTCCGGAGCCCAGACCAAGCCTACCTGGTCCAATGCTCCCTCCTCCCTGGCTTGGGGACCGCGGCCCTGTCCCCACCCCGGCCCCCAGCCCAGCCCCCCAGCCTGGCTTCCAGCCTGGCTCCACCCCGGCCCCCAGCCCAGCCCCCCAGCCTGGCTTCCAGCCTGGCTCCACCCCGGCCCCCAGTCCAGCCCCCCAGCCTGGCTTCCAGCCTGGCTCCACCACGGTCCCCCAGCCCAGCTCCACCCCGGCCTCCTCCCCGGCCCCCAGCTCAGCCCCCCAGCCCGGCCCCCCAACCCAGCCCCAGCTCGGCTCCCAGCCCGGCTCCACCCCAGCCCCCAGCCCGGCCCCCCAGCCCCTGAAGTCTCAGTTGCTTCCCACCCACCATTCTGTCTGTCGGCTCAGTTTTGGATACTTTGCTTTTTTGCTTTTTGTTTTTAAGCCTTGAGAGATTTCCCTTACTGTTCTTGAGCACCAGCAATACATTTAATCTATCCAAGATCTACTTGTGTTTTCATGGGAGGCTTCTTTGGAACACTAGTCTGCACGCTGCGGATGTTGGCTGGGTTGTGTCCCCTCAGCAGACCCCAAAGCGCTCTGGAACAAGATACGCTCCCTCCCACCTTCCTCATCCGCTCTCTGAGGGCTCACTGGTTCTGGGCTCCTGCAAGGCCACACCCGTCCCCTCCTCTCTGACTGCTTCATGGACTATTCTTTGCTGGGTGCCCTCTTCCATCTAACCGCAAAAAGCTGAAAAGCCGCTGGCATCCTTAAAAGAGTCTGCTTGCTTCTCCCCGACCCCAGCTGCCTTGATGTGCAGACTCCTCCCCACAGCTCGGACTGCTCCTGGCCCCAGGCCCTCCCCCAGGCACAGATGCCCTGGTGCTCCCCACCCTGCCTTCCGGCCCTGACCACTCGGTACCACTGCCACGCAGGGCTCAGAAGGCAGGGGCACGGCTGTGCCAAGCTCCCAACAGCCACTGTCTGAAGAAGAGCCTCAGCCCCCCAACTGCTGGGAAAGGCCGTGGGGGGCAGCACAGGCTTCTCTCCTGCTCGACACCCCCATGGGCTCCACGTCTCCAGCAGACGCAGGCCCAGACTCGCAGGCCTCTGCAGCTCCCTAGCCTGCCCCTGCCCACTCTTCCAGCTTCTCGCTCGGGCCCCAACCTGTCAGCTGCTGGCCGCAGGGCGGGCCTGGCCTTCGAAGGTTCACGCAGCACCTCCTGCCAAGGCAGGCTCCAGTTCAGTGCCTTCTACCCCCCTGACCACTCACTGGCCACGTCCTCCAGGCTGGCCTCCAGCTTCCCCTTCTCCAGAACGCTCCCTCGCTTTCCTGGCTGGAGTCTCTGGGGGACTCCTGGCCTCCGGACAGCTGAAGGGGTGCACCTGCCCAAGCAGGCCCACAGCACCTCGGGAGGATGAGAGCCGTGTCCCAGGCACTGTCTTCACTCGTTGGTCTGAGTCACATTCACCAGGCGACTACCACATGTCCAGAACTTTCTGAGAAGCCGTGGATGCCGTCCCCAGAACAGCCACAGGGAGCAAGGGGGCCACAGCACACACTGGAAGCGCCCCTCCCCGGGGTCTGCAACAATGCCACTTTGCAATGCCGCTTGGGCACTGAGGAGAGAGAGCGGAACAGGCAGGGAGACAAGCCAGAGCAGCCATCAGGAAGGGGCAGACCAGGTCCCAAGGGTCTCAGGGCCACGGATGGGGCAGGAGGAGAGACTGGGAGGCCTGGGTCAGGGCAGGGCACATGGGGAGAGTCCAGACGCTGGGGAGTAGGGATCACTGGATCTGAAGCACTGGGAGGGCTGGGGGGTGTCAAGGCCTACCCCCAAGGCTCTGGGCTCAGCACCAGCAGGCAAGGTCTTGGCTCATGCGGCCAAAGGACACAGCAGCAGAATTCCTGAGGACCCCATGTCCTGAGTGTCTGGAGAGGAGACCACCTAGCCTCACAGAGGGAGGTGGCAGGAGGGTCCCAGGCAGGGAGAGCCTGGGGACGCCAAAGGGAACTCTGTCACATTTTTAATAGAGAAATAACACAGCATCTGCCAGGAACAAGTGCAGCCTCGGCTGGGGCTCAGTGCTTCACAAACTGGGAGAGTTCACTGATGTCTTCCAAAAAGCTGTGGTAGAATCTGCGGCTCACGGAGTCTGGGTCCTGCTTCAGGACCTCCACATCTGCAGCAGAGATGCCCAGGGTCTGACGCACAGCGCCCTGGGGTGCAGCCCTGCCCCGGGAGCCCATGTGGGGTGTGGGGGGCACAGCCCTGCCCCGGGAGCCCATGTGGGGTGGGGGGCACAGTCCTGTCCTGGAAGGGAGTCTCAAGGACAAAACAATGCCCCACCCTTGGGACAGGCTGGTTGAGGGACCTTCTTAGGAGTTGGGAGACAAAGAGGTCCCATGTTCTTGGCCCCCGGGGCTCACATTTCCTGAGGATTTTCAGGTCATCCTTCTTCAGGGAAAAGCAGAGGTCGGTAAAGTATTCCTGCAGAATGCCCCCTGGGTCAGGGAGGGGAGGTGGTGGGTATGGGCGCCTCTGGGGCCCAAGGGAGGCCAGCTTGGCAGGGAAAGGAAGTCAGCACCTGGCTGATGGGACCGGACTCTCCATGCCATGGGGCCAGCGCCACTGCCCCTACTGAGGCTGCCCCCAGGGCACAGGAGCGTGACCTTTAATGTGGCAGCTCAGGCAGTGGGGGGGGGCGGGCACCGCGGTGGAAGGGCAGGACCACGGGCCGGCACCTACCGATGAACTTCATGGCCGTGTGCTTCAGGTTTTTGTGGGGGCTGGCTAGGTAAATCAACGCCTGCATGAGAAACTGGTGGTAACTGCCAAAGTTGCTCTCCACCTGGGGGAGGGGAGACAAGGGCCCCATGGCTCCTGGGCCTCTGTGACCTGGCTCTGCCCGGGGCCAGCCAGCAATCCCAGGCCTGGAGGGAAGAGGGCCATGACCCCAGTCTGGGTCCAGGCCCCGGAAGCTGGTCCCCTACAGGGGGGAGGGGGAGAGGGGCTGGCAGCGTCCCACCCCACTGTCGGGGGCGGGGGCGGGGGGAGGGAGCCTGCGTTGAGGGGTCTGGGACCTTCCACATGGCCACCACCCCCAGCACTGTCCCGAATGTCCTCCAGGAAGCCACCCGTGCCGCTCCCACCGGAGCTCCAGCAATGGGCTCAGGGCCGGTGGGAGGCAGGGAGGGCTGCTGGCCTCCCTGCCGGCCTCGCACATTCCCCCGGGGCACGTGCCATGGACTCCCGGGGTGTGCGGCTGCTTTTCCAAACAGGGGAGAGCTGGCCCAGGACGAGGCCGCCCCCCAGGAGGTGGGGCAGGGGACGCGCACAGCCCAGCTGCTCGTGCCGGCCGTTCTGTGGCCGCGTGGCCGCGTCCTCTGAGCCTATCCAGGTTTGGAAACCAGTTTTACCGTCTAAGCCTGCTTGGATTGGCTTCTCTGCTGCAAGCGCTCCCCCTGCCTCAGCCGCCAAGGCCGCCGTGTGGCCCACACGTCCCACAGAGAGCTACCGTGCGCACGCCAGGCCGGGCTTCCCCGAGGGGCGCTAACTCCGGGCCACCCCGGCCGGCCTGGCCATCCCCTCTGGCCCTGCGCTGGCCGGACGGACCCTCAGAGCCGCCTTCCCTCCACAAATGTCACCTGAGACCTCCAGGTCCGGACGAGGCAGCCTGAGGCCCACAGACATCCTCCTTCCAGCCCCAGGACCCGCTGCGACCAGACTCCCCTTCTGGTCACAGACCCACGTGCTGGGAATTTGGTCATCTGCTGGTGACTTTACAAAGACAGCTGCCTTCCTGCTCTGTGTCCGCCTGAGGGCCCACCTGCCAAGCTGCGAGCCCGCTCAGCCAGACTCTGGGCCCTCATGCCCTTTTCCATTCAGACCCCAGGACTTCCTGGAGGCAGCTGATCCCGTGTCTTGGAGAGGAAAAGCCCTAGGAAGGGTCTGGAACATTCTAATGCTCCAGAAAGAAGAATGCCTAAAGAAAGGGTCCAGGGGCAGGGCTCATGAGAGAAAGGACTCAAGTTCAGGAGAGGCCAGGTGTGACGGCTCGAGCAATACAGCGATGCGGCTAACAGTGGGAATAACACCTCCCTGGAGCGAGCGGGGTCTCTCGTGAGCCGCAGGATGGGCTGGACCGCGTCCCCCAAAAAGAGATGCTGAGTCCCAATCCCCAAGACCTCAGAATAGGACCGTACTTGGAGATGGGGCCCCTGGAGGCGATGCCGTTATGGGGTCACGCAGTAGCCGCGGAGCAGCTCGGCTGGTGTCCTCGGGAGGAGGGGAGGCGCCCACACAGCGTGCAGGGCGGCAGTGACGCGGCCGGAGCCCAGGGACCCCGGCCTCCAGAGCTGGGGGACAACAGCTGGTGGAGTGGTCACCACGGCCGAGGGAACCCCCACAGGCCGAGCAGGACGGGGCCCCAGCGCACCTGCAGGGACACGGGAGGACAGCCGCCATGTGCAGGGCCGGGAGCATTGCAACTGGAGAACACGTCACCCGCGTGTCTCAAGTGGGACGGAATTCCCACACCCATGGGTCGGTTGAAGTATCGGGACGGCGGCACGGGAGGACAGGAACACCAGCCCCAGACACTCAGCGGAAGAGTTCGGGGAAGGGGGCAGTTTTGAAAAGTAAAAGGTAAGTGACAGCGAGTGGCTCAAAGGCAGCAGGTGTGGTGGATGACACGTCACCGCGGACGGAGCCCTGCCAGCCCGGGATGACACCCGCTTCCTCCTAGGCAAAACTCCAGAGCTCCTGGAAGGTGTGGACGTGGGAAAGTCTGCAAACCCAGGGACGTCTCCTTGGGGAAGAGCAGGAAGGGAGGGCCCCGGAGTGGAAAGCGGCGGGGACCATGTCGCTCCCCCAGCACCTGAGCCGCCCCCGGGACCCCCACGGTCACACCGAG